CTTATAGACAAATAAACTGCAGTCTACTCTGGACGTTCCGGATTGTCCGCGGCCAGGGTTGCTCATTAAGAACGGAAGACTTCTTCGAGTTTGCCCTTAGAAACTAACTAGGCGGTAATGCTTACAAAGTCCATAATGAGCGCACACGGTTAGACCGTAGAAAGTTTTCATTCAGCCAGCGGGTTGTCAGGCCGTGGAACTCGCTTCCAAGCGAGATGGTGACGGCTGACACAGTTTGTGTGTCTAAAAGAAAACTCGTCCGCCTAATTTTCGACAGAGGTCGGCTTTTACAGCATGACTACCCACAGCCAGTTCCGTAAAACACAGTCATATACAATTCCACCGCACTAACTTACAGTGTCCTGATGCACTTCCTTATGATTACGATAAAACTGTGACCCGATCACATTGTAAATTCCTGCAATTTTATTTTTGAACGCGAATATGCGAAAACACTGGCCATAAATAGGGTCATCGAGGGCTCTGTCTCTAACCATCCGAATATATATATATATATATATATATATATATATATATATATATAGGCAGAATAGTATTACCGACAAAGACAAGGGAGACTGGAATGGCCATTTCTGGCTTATTAGCCGTCGTCAGCCAGCCATACCCAAGCCCGAAGTGTGGAACACCCGAGCCTCGAACTCGCGACCTGTTGGTTTAGAAGTCAACGCCTCTACTCACCGGGCCACGAGCCCGTTGCCTTGTCGGTTTTCGATCGGGAATATACAGTGGTAGGGGGCGCTCACCGATCGTTCATACGGAACTCACTCGTTCCGTATGAACGATCGGTGAGCGCCCCCTACCACTATATATATATATATATCGATATGCGTAAAGATTCGAGGTCCAGACATTGTATCGCGTTCATCATCTCCCGAAGAAGACGAAGAAGAAGAGAGGGCGAATCCATGGACCATCTTGTATTCGAACTGACGTTTCGGAAACTTCCTCGTTTCCATCATCAGAGTAGCGTAGTTGTTGCACTTGCGGGTCTTGAGTTATTCAGTCTTGCCGCTTGTCTCGTATTATAGCCGTGCTGGACGCACGAACTTTGACCTGCCTGTTTGCCGCTGACTGGCTTAGACCTCCCCGGACCTGACCGCTGATAGGCCTGCGTGACCCTTGTTCCCTTTGGGGTCGGCTTAGTTATGGTCAAATCAACGTGCCGCTTGGCCCCTCCCACGTCAGCCGGTGGACTGATCGGTCGTTGCTGTTCAGGTGAGCAGCATTCAGCTTCGCGGGTGCATCGGTGAGACAGTGTTCGGCTTTGGTCACATGACCTCTGGCCCCCAATTCCGCTCTTTTCCGTGAGCGTTGACTCTCGGTCCCGCGTGCTCGCTTGCCTTACTGGTCCTGTCCGGACTGATCCGAGCCTTGTACGGAGTGCTTGGTAGGCGGGATGGAGATCTATAGCTCGGTTGAGTGTACCAGTCGAGGACCAACTTTCGAGCAC